CCATTTATATATAGGGGGTGAAATGACCTCATTACCATGTAACCGTTTATATATAGGAGGTGAAATGACTTCCTAGGGGATATAATTAGGGGAAACTTTATAAAACCCTACCTTTTTATGTAGGGGTGTTAATCTATGAGATATTTTTATTAATTTTTAAATCATAACTCGTAATAACACTTAACTTTTTCAAAAATCATACTCAAAATAAGGAAACAAACACACCCGGATTATAAAATTAATTACTTACTTCATGTTGCCTTTTAAAATGCTTAAAGGGAATGAACAGAAAGAGACAGGGATGGTAATATTTTTATGAAGAAAAAAAACTGAAAACAAAAATGTAACTGAAACGGGAGCAAAGGCTTTTCCCCTGAAGAAAGTTATAAAGTCCCCACAAAATCCGTGGTTTGTTTGAAAGGGAACGTGAAAAAAATAAGAGGGATGTTATTACTTCTATCTTTGTAAGAACAATCAATTATTCCGTTAACAATTACAAACCCACTCAAAATCGATACAGTGGATGGTGAGACTGAAGCCTTTTGCAAATAATAATAATAATAATAATATGTTGATTGAATCTCCTGCTCGACGCCTTGTTGTCTTGATCGCTTGTATTTTCATCTCCTGTTTAATTCTCTACAGCATTGCTGATTCTCTCCGGTTCCTCCCTGTTTCTGTCTACGGTTCTTCCTCTGCTTTCCCTTCCATTTTCCCTTCTGTTATCGACACCGATTCTCTTCTGGTAATTATCTTAACTCTTACTGGGTTTCTTTATTTGTCAGTTTATTTAAGTGGGTTTAGCTTCATTTGCTTTTAGCTTTTGTAGTGGTTACCTAATATAGCCCTGAAAATCAAAATGATCATGATTTCGTTTAGCTGATTTTATTTATTTATTTATTAATTTTAAACTCTTACTGGGTTTCTTTATTTGTTGGTTTATTTAAGTGGGTTCAGCTTCATTCGCTTTTAGCTTTTGTAGAGGTTTCGTAATTTATCCCTGAAATTAATATGATTATGATCTCGTTTAGCTGAAAGTGCTTTTGAAGTGTTTGGCTAAATCATACAAATTTGCGTTTCGGTGGGAAAAAGGTACTTGTAGATTCTTTTGAAGAAGCACTTGAGTGATGCGTTTTTTAACTTTAAGTTGAGAAAACAGTTCATAGGTGATCTTTTGAAAAGTAATTTTAAGTGGTCATGTAGAAAATGCTTTCATCCAAAGCACTGCCACATTGATTTATGGTGATGTGGTTGAATTCTTTAGAATACAATGATTAATTGCATATTCATTTATTTTACTTTTCTATTTAAACTTGTTGCAGGATAGTGAGGAATATAGGCTTGAGAAAGTTCTGAAGAATGCTGCCATGGAAGACAACACTGTGATATTAACAACTTTGAACGAAGCATGGGCAGCTCCTAATTCAGTCCTTGATCTTTTCCTTGAGAGCTTTCGAATTGGATACGGGACGCGAAGACTTTTGAATCACTTGGTGATTATTGCTTATGATCAAAAAGCGTTTAGACGTTGTTTGGTTGTTCATAGGCATTGCTTTGCTCTTGTTACTGATGGAGTGGATTTTCATCAGGAGGCATACTTTATGACTCCTGATTATTTGAAGATGATGTGGAGAAGGATTGATTTCCTACGCACTGTTCTTGAGATGGGGTACAATTTCGTCTTCACGGTAACATTTTTCTCTTTTTCTGTCTGAAATAAAGAAGTGCATAAACCTAGTATCATCAGTTTACAGAAATAAATAGATAACACCAGTTTTAGTTTGGAGATGAATGTTTATAGTGGATTAGTCTGTTAGAGGAGGCTTCTTATAAACCAATGCTCTGATGAATTAACAGTATTTCTAATATTTTAAATTGATGAAAACGCCTTCTCTTTTTAAGGCTGGTAAGTGGGTAGTGGTTTCTGCTATTTTTCTTGGCACTGTTTTCAGGGTTCAAAGAAAGCTTTTTCTTTTTGAAATATCAAATTCCATGAAATGGCCTGAGGTTCATGGATCTTATGTTATATACAAACTTTTAAACCTTCTTGACCTCAGACTAATTGCTGAATCTGAAAACAAGCCATTAAGCTTTTACTAGAACTGTGTCCCGTGAATTATTTCCTCAACATCTGTATACAATGATATTTGATACCCTTTTTTGACACCTTAGAAGTGTTATCTTTATGCGATCGGAAAGTTCAACTAGATAATTGCATCAAGCATTTTTGTTCTGAAAGTACTGTATATTTTTAATTCTGCTTCGCATTCACAAACTTAAATGCAGTTGCAGTATTACACTTTGATTTGTTTTGCCTTGTGTTAAATGTTCCTTTTTTTTTTCTCCTCATTATATATCTTTAGTATTAAATTGCTTTCTCTTGAAAAGGGAAAGGCTAAAAAAGGGAAAAGTATGCAAGGAAGGATAATATGCCTAGCAGAAATTTATCAAGATTATTATCGATCCTTTTTGTCATAATTTAGGAGTCATCGAGCTTTCTCCGGTGCTAAAGATCTTTGATAGGAGCAGTTGATAAAATTGATGAGAGAAAATATTTGTTAGCTTTATAATGATATCAAGGCTGCATTTGGCTTCAGAGTCCCAGTTTGATAGGAAACAGAAACTTGAGTTCCTAATTGCTTGAGTTTCTCCTGACAGGAATATGCTTTGTTTTGATAATGTTATTTATGATCTTCCGAGAAATTCAGAGCAGGATGCCTGGTACTAACCATTAGAGTTTCCAATAATTTTAATTGCTAGAGTGTTTTATTACTTTTATCTAAATATATGAACCTGATCTCTTGTTTCAATACCCTTATATATCTTATAGTCAAATCCAGTACGCACATGTTACTTTTTACAAAGTATTCATTTTTCCTTTTGGTTAATTTCTTCAACAGGATGCTGATGTCATGTGGTTCAGAAATCCATTTCTACGATTTTATTCAGATGCTGATTTCGAGATTGCGTGCGATTACTTTCTAGGGACCTCTGATGATCTACAAAACAGAGCCAATGGAGGATTCAACCATGTAAAGTCCAATAATCGGTCCATAGAGTTTTACAAATTCTGGTACTCTTCGAGGGAAACTTATCCTGGATCTCATGATCAAGATGTCCTAAACAATATCAAGTTTCATCCTTTAGTTACAGATATTGGACTGAAGATGAAATTCTTGGATACTTCTTATTTTGGTGGGCTATGTGAACCTAGTGAAGATTTTAGTGTAGTTTGTACAATGCATGCAAATTGCTGCTATGGTTTGGATAGCAAACTTCAAGATATCAGAATTATGCTTCAGGATTGGAAAAGTTATTTATCTTTACCTCCAACTTTGAAAAGTTCATTGATTTTGTCCTGGAGGGTCCCATACAATTGCAGGTAAGATTATCATTTTGACTTCAGTTGCTTTATTTGTAGCTACTGTTAATAAGATCTTTTCCCTGAATTGGATTCTATTTATGTTTCCATACCAGTCTTGATTCTCTCCGTCATTATGATTCACCAAATATGAGTCAACCAGAAAGGAAGAAATGATTAGATAGATTTTTTTTTCATACACAAAATTCATCACAAGGCAAGGAAAAGGGTAAGGTTTCTGGTAATGAGGCATCTCAATTATAATTTGCATTTATTCTGAAGCTAGTTACTCTGCATGTTGCCTTATCTGCTTCTTTCTTTTGTTTCTTTCTTTCTCAATAGAAATATAATCTCATCTTGTGATGTTATGGAAGGGGTTAAAATATTATACGTTAGTTGTAATATTTACTTTGTCTGAAAAACAATTGTTTGAATTTCTTTTGAGGATAGTTCTATTGATTTTTCTTTGTTTATTCAACCTTTTAGCTAATTTGATTGGTTCTACGTGGCTTTAAAGGTTTCGGCTGACACAACTCAGAAAATTGGAGGCAAATCTTTGCATTTTCATTCTTCTGAATCATTCAATCCCAAAGTTGAGTTTGGAGAGTTTATATGGCAGGTAATTGAAGATTTGTCAGCATTAATATAAAATCAATAATTATTGAATGACCAAAATTTTGTAGATCACTCAAAAGAGCATGTAATTGTCAAGTATTTAGTGTCAGTTGCTTCATTCACTGTAACATGTATTGCCATAGTCTGTTTACTGTTTAGCAATCAGAATTAACTCAAATTAACAGTCGTTGTTCTGTGCTCTTGGGCAAATGTATGCGCTTAATATCTGTCATGAAAATGTTGGAGTGTTGGAAGGATCATTGAGCATTATTGTTGAATGTAAGTTCTACCATTTCGGAATACTGGTGTAGAAGCAACATCAAACTTTGTCAAAACATATATGTAATATGATTATAATAAACAAATGTTAGAATTTCTTTTTCATGATTGGTGTTGAGAAAAGAATGTTTAGAATGTATCAGGTTCACTAAAATGGCTTGGACCTTGGCCCGATTTGTGCGGGCAAGACCGCAAGAGTTCACTTTATGTCATTGTTACCTTCTGAAGAATTCTTATATAATCCACTCCGCAACTCCTCTTTATACATGGGATTAAATGGGTTTTGACATTATAAAATGAGACAAAATTTATGTTTGGTAATGTTTTATATTTAGTATCAATACCAACCTGTGCTCTAATATGACTTTGTTGATATGTAGGATATTTGACAAGTTTGGTTGGGCTTTATTGGTAGGATTAGACTTTTTAAGTTTGTGGTTCTATCAATTAATGCCCCTCACTTTTGTGAAATTGATCTGTTTGTGGCAACTATGTCTTTTTCAATCAATTACCACCCTAAATTACATCACAAGTTGAGCACCAAATTACATTAAAAAAAAAACCCCTCTACTTAACTCATTATAATACAACACAAGTTGAGCACCAAATTACATCACAAGTTGAGCACCAAATTACATCACAAGTTGAGCACCAAATTACATCACAAAAAAAACCCCTCTACTTAACTCATTATAATACAACACAAGTTGAGCACCAAATTACATCACAAGTTGAGCACCAAATTACATNAAAAAAAAAAAAAAAAAAACGAGGATATGGCATGATGTTCATGATCATGCAGTATTATTCTTGAAAAAGCATACCAAATTATCATGATAATTTCCCTGGTGACAGCTACACTCCATGCCTAGCTTTGTGACGTACGACTGCTCTTTTCCTCAATGCCTGACTGTGAAAATCTCGTACGGAGAACTTCTAGGACATCCTTGGCTTTTACATCTTTGAGTGCCAGCAGAACCATGGCATGATACAGCACATCTGTCATCTCTGAGGCAGTATGTGACTTATCCTCATTCTCCTCCATTGTTCGACATAACTCATCTGCTTCTTCTCTGTAGAGGAGGTACCAAAGATGTAAGTATCTAAAATTAGAATGCTATACATGTTAAACTGCCCTAATGACACTCTTGCAAGGTGATGAAACAAAACTGCATAGACTACTGCTTTTAATCTTCTACCAGTTCTTCAGGACTTTTTTTCCAACTGAAAATTATTTATTTACCATACCAACAATTTGACGTTACGACTATATTACCGAATTTTTGAGCAAAGCAAATTGGGATCTAGTAATAATCTTTTAGTCCAAGAGGGTTTTCCACTTTCTGGCGCTGCTAATTCCATTTTCCGCTGGGAAATTGTAGTCTCTACCGAGTACAAAGTTGTCAATGCCAACCTATTTCCTTCAACCTGCCATAGATTATCAAATTCATTAAAACATACTAATAGTTTATCTGAAGTGGCAAAAAAATTTGCCATAGTTTACGAAAAACTTAAGCTGAGAACCTGTTTGTCACTTAGGAGATCAGAAACTGATGTATAGTAGCAAGTTTCTAACCCTGTGTGGCAGGTAGGTCCATCAGGCTTCCCAAGATATATTACCTGGAGAAGAGTCCGAGTTAAAAGATATCCGAGAAGAGCAAACAAATGGCTTATGCATTAGAACTGCATGTCATAAACTTAGAGAGTCACGATCACAATCAAGAAAGATGTCATGAACATTTATAAAATTCTTAGAGGTCTCTCCCTTTGTCCACAATGTTGACCTTGACCGGCTGTAAAATTTTGCCTTCCGTGAGGAGATGGTTGTAGCTAGAGCATCCCTGTTGACAAAGCCTTGCATTAATATAGCTCCTGTGTCAACATTTTGAGCTATAGCCACTGCTAAACCTTTGTCATCCCATTTTATACTGTCAAGCAACTTCCGGACCTATAATTTCACTGTTAGACATTCTACTTTGCAGTGTAAGGCAAAATTACAAACCTGAATAAAGAATAAAGAAAAAACTCGCTGCTATAAGAAAAATGGAGAAGAAAACTGCAAGTGAGATGGGTGATAGAGAATGCTTTCTACTTTTAGTAAATTTATCATTAACGAAGGTGGTACTATACAACTACCTCTTTGATGTCGAAATAACAAGACTAAAGTGTAAGCTAACTTGTTCAACCGTAAATCTTATTTATATATCATCTTAACAAGTTATTACACCCAAGGTGCAAAGTCAAGCAAAATCAAGCAGAAGTCAAGCGAAATCAGAAAGACGATTTTGAAATTAACACGTGCAATCATGATAACTTGAGAGACGGTAAAATTAAAAGCATAAGAAAAAAATCCAGTTCAAATGCAGCATTTCTCTGACTAGAGGCTCCTACCTAATTCTGAATATATTTGAAGTATATATGAAGGAAAATATAGCTGGCAATTTGTTTATAAGAGCAAAGATTGTAAGCTGATAGAAAAGTAGTGACGCAAATCTTCAAATCAGAAACTGTTCTCTTATTTTGAATTATAAAGTGAGAGTTGCAAGCAATGAAAATCACTTATATAAACATATTCCATACTATTCACTTCAATCCAAAAGGATAAGAAAGAAATGATAATGATGCACTATTTCTGCATAAATACTTACATACATGAAACTAGAAAAAATTGTTAGATATGCACATGAGAAATTACAAATTATATCTTATATAAGAAAATGTATATTTGTGTTGGCTAAAAACTCTTGGTTTAAGATAATTCTCGTGCAAAGATCTTTTAACCTCTAGGTGCACTAACAAGTTGTATTATAGGTGCTCAAGAATAACTATAGAGTCAGGATACCGTAACTTAAATTTGGTGACTTATTTATTTATTTATTTTTTTGATGCAATACGTAAGTCATCCATTTATCTCAAATCAAATTATGTTAAGTTGTTGAGTTGGCATAACTCCCAGCTCCCCTCAACACCATTGAGATAAATGAAGACTCGCAAATTGTGAGTCAAAAATTTAAATTACTTCAAGTTACAGAATTCCAACACATTCCGAGCCATACCTAATAAAGAGAGCATCTAGCTCCAAAAGTGTGTTAGGATCCCATAAAATAGGGATTTCACACCCACCAAGTGTGGTACTTAAGCTTTAGGGCTCTCCTATCTATCAGACTGATCTTTTGGATTGGACTCTCTCTTAGGTTTGAGTTCTAACATTAGTGCTCTCGTTAAAAGTTGGGCTACAGAAAGGGCTACTTATAGGCTAGATTAAAGTGCAGTGTGCTTTTCTTGAGAGGGGGTTCTGCATTGAATAACTGATAGGTGAGTGAAGCCGTCCAAAGGGGGCTACCATCGGGTTAGTGTCGATAGACTGAAAGCCGCCGTGGACGTTGGCTTTTGAAGGGGGTGCAATGTTAGAATCCCATATCGGGATCTTTCAACCAACAAGTGTAGTACTTAAGCCTAGGGGTTCTACCACCTATGAAACCGGTCTTTTGGGTTAGACCCTCTCTTGGGCTTGAGTTCAAACGGCTCCCATAGTTTTGAGCAGTGGACTCGAAAAATATACACTCACTAACAGAGAACTTTCAAGCATCATGGGTTCAACACTAGAGGAAAATGCACAAAAGGGTTGCTCAATGCTTATGCTATGCCCCTTGATCTAAAATGAAATCTAAGTGAACAAAAGCAGTTGATAAAGAATTTTAAGGTTAAAGGAAAATAACATTGTAGCACCTTTGAATGAAGAGGGAGATTATTATCTGATTTGTTTGTAGAAGCTAACACTAGAGCGTTGGTCTTCTTCTGGGTATCTCTGCCTCTAGAAAACAAGAGATGGGTTTTCGAAGAAACTCTTAGATATTGAACAGACTGACAATATGAGAACGCCGCCATTCTTCTGAAATCTGTAAATAAAATGAGAAAAAGGTTTTATAGATTTTAAGTCATGACAATACTAAGGAAGAAAGTTAAAAAACATAAATCCTTTCATTGGGGAATTTGATCGAACACCTTACTCACTATGGAACTTGAGAGTTGGACTTAGCCTGTAGCCACGTTGAAAATGCCATACAGAAAACAGTTCTTGCATTTGCATTACAGTTTTAAGCTGTATATTTTAACTTCAAATTGTTTGACGAATAAAAATTCTAAATTTATTAATCAATTAGCAAGAAATAAAGTTAATGATTAATAGTATAATTATAAATAAATTATATACTCATCATATTTTTTCCCTTATAAAATTCCTTAGTTTATTTTCTTATCGATATAAATTAAAGTAAGCTGGCCCAGAGATTTGTAAGTTATATAAGGTCTACGGGCCTAAAATGAATCCAATGAACTAATGGATTAAGACCATCTACTAAAGCCCAAAAAGAAGGGTTGAATACGTAAAATCCACGTTATCAACTGATTAACTACCCTTGTGACAAAAGAGAGTGGAGGTGCCATTATTCCAAGATTGGATTAACGGCAATTTCTTCTTCAAGGTTTGAGAAAAATACAATCACGCGAAAGGGTTTAGAAATAGTAACAAATGCAACTGAAAAATTAATTACTCTACCAATAAAGACTATGTTGTTACAAAAACCTGTAACAATCCGTTATACTCAATTGGGAGGAATTGGATAAGATATGAGTATGATAAATAATAATCAACAAAGGATAAATAAAATTGTAAAGAAAAAGAAACAAAAAAGATTTTAAAATGGTTCGACCCTCAAGATTTTCTAACCCTTTTACAATGATATTTTTTTTTTTTTTTTTTTTTTTTAATACAATGAAGTTGCAACAGTTACAAAAGAAATTTTAGGGATAATAGCATGATTTTCGGGAGTTAATCCCATGATTCATGGCATAATTATGTGATCGAAATTGTTGGGAGTGTTCTCGCGATCTTCTCCTTGATTTTATAATATAATGTTTATTCATGATTTGAAAAATAACTGTCCAACAATCCATTCTAGTCTGATCGTTTTAGTATTTACTTCGAGCTCCTGCTTGCTCCGAGTTGATCGTGTATCCTCGCACAACAATTGCCTTTCAAATTTTGGAGGTCATGGCAAGCTTAAAAAACTATGAGCTCCTCTAGATGAGCTATCAATGTGTGAGTTACTGTCAGACTAGGCTGGCTTGCGAATTGGGGTTCGATTAGTTTCATCTAAGCTATAGTTACGAGCTTATTCTTATTGATTGGCTCATTTCATCACGAGGTTTGCATGTGAGTCTAGGTGAACTTTTGATGACGAACTGATGTGTTGGGACGAGCCTTCGCTTTGAACCAAACATGTTTCGTTCGACGATGTACCAAAGACTTAGAAGAACTTGGTGTTGTTGGTTCTTACTGAAGAATAAATACATCCAAGGGCATTGCTAGAATTTTTAATGGAAATGCAAAGGGTCACATCCATACATTTAATACCTTGTTAGATGAATAGTCACGCCGAATAAAGTGATAAGCTGACGTCTTGCTTTTCAAATCGGAGGTTACTCTACCCAGGTTGATCAACGCCACGTGGTAAAAATGGACGGCCAAGATAGTTTCCCACCTAGGTTACCTATGGGCGAACATATATACATGAATGTGCAACTAATCACATAACAAAAAATGTTGCTTTCTTAATGGCCACCAATTTCACTTTCCCCTCCTACGCGTATTCTTCGAAATCAAAGATATAAGCAAGGTTTTGAAACCCGGACCAAACCGGGCGATCAAACCTATTGAACCGCCACCCGCTTGCATTTCCGGTTTAAAGAAAGCAAATAACCGGGATTTACGATCAAACCGTTTCAAACCGCGGTTGGACCGTCTCACTGTAGCAAACCGACGGTCCAACCAGTATTTAACACATTTCCGGTCCACAACCCCCATCCGATTTAACACATGAAATGAGAAAAAAAAATTTAAAAAATTAAAAACTACAGTTGCTCAATGCTCAGTTGCTCACAGCCGCACACACAAACTCACAAAGTCAAAGTGTCAGACTTTAACAAATTTAATTTTCATTTTTCAATTTGCTATTTTGCTTTTGAGTTTTGAGCTACAGATCAGATACAGAGTCGTCTTGCACTCTTGCGGTCTTGCCCCTTCTTCAGTTTTTCAGTTTTTCATCTTGGATTGCTAATGCCAGTCTGCCATTCGCGATCTCCTCCACTCTCCAGTCTATCACTTTTTATGTTTTTCATCTTGGTTTTGATGGTTTTTAAACTTTAATTAGGTGGAGAATCTGAATTTTTTTTGCCATTTTTGCGTTTTTGCTTATTTCAGTATACTGATATCAGCATGATATCATGCTGATGTCACCGGTCAGACCGTTCGAACCGAAAACCGGCCGTTTGGCCGAGTCGGCTCTCGGTCCGATTTTCAAAACATTGGATATAAGTTTACAGACCTATTAAAAGCAACAAAAATTAAAAATTTTAATGATCGCAAACCTTTAGACCAAAATCCTTATCTCGATTTATATTATTTTATTATAACAACAAAATCAAAAGATGTAAAGTTTTATATTAGTATTGGAGACTCATTTAATTTGGGATTGGAATCGCTACCACTTTAATGTAGAAGTACACTTTAGGTATCCACACGAAGATATAACATATGCCGTTGAGAGATTTTATAAACTAGCAAAATCTCACAACTTTAAGAATATTTTCTACAAAATTTTTCCTTAGAAGAA